TGCAGTGGTAGCTCTGGAAAACCGCCTTAGAGTGAGGGTTGTAAATATGTACAGTGTGTAAATAAAACGTATATACTCACTCGTGTCTGTTTCCTTGTGGTGTAGATCCCTACACACGACGTTACAATAGATTGTTAGTGATTCCGGGCGCGTCAACGGCTAACATCGTTCGTCCCGTAAGTGCAGTGCATGTTTTTCCTAGGGAGTGGCGGCTATCTTCTCTCGTTGGGTGGCGAGAACCGGCGCCGACCTACCGTCGGTTAGACGGGTTTTTCCACCATCGGTGCACCGCCCCAGCCGGGACAAGCTGTAAGCTCCCGACCTGTCTCTCGGCATGTGCGGTAGTGAAGTGCGTTTTAGAGTAAATGTGTAGAAGAAAGGGGTGAGGATAGGACAAGGAAGAGGTAAGAAAGATAGCCCGCGGACGTGGCCCGTTTGTTGGTGTATTGCTCGGACATACGTTCGGTGGTGATCGAATAATAAAAACCATAGAAAACTACTGATCACAGCAGCCAGCAGTTAGAGTTCCCCTCCACACAGTGACTGAATTCGAAGTAGCTGACAAGCTAATGTCAAAAATCCTGCCACCGTCGGAACTTGAACTTAAGACCTAGGACCTCCCGGTCAGACGCACTGCAGTGACATCTGTTGATGCCCTGAGTCAACTCTCCATGTCAGTAACTTAGGAAACCGGAGGTCACAAGCAATAAAGGTACCCTCGCTCCGGAAAATATTCATAAAATATTCGAAAAAAATTTTAAAACACTTTTATCTCTAAATATCTCTTTGAATATATAATCAAATACTCTACTACTATAATGTTAGTATTTAAAATTACTAGTATTTTTATGTTTTACCATTTGTTTTACACTTTTATATCAAGAGTTAGAAATTCTGGAGAAAAGTGTTTTTGGAGGAAAGCTCCAACACGATTTTCCCCTTAGGGGGCTCCACAATACTTAATCCGGACTTGATATTTCCCCTTTCACCACAATTAAAAATATATAGCTAAATTAATATTTACCCAGAGTTTTTTAATCTTTTAGGTGCTGATTCTGGAATAGCTTAATAGGAGCGTAGCTTTATTATTTACCAAGGAGAAATTTATCACAATTTCTCTTGAATGAAGCGTCATTCCTCAGCCTCCTCAGATATTTACTTGATGCTATTTTCAATCACTGCACTAATAACTAACCCAAAAAACTGCATTATGTCTGCACAACAAGCTTTATATATTCACACATATTCTCAATTTTTTTCGTTTAGCGAATTCGTGTGATTCCTGACTATTTCTGATTTCATTTGGTATAAGGTTGGATCAGATTTCTCTTCATTTCCAATGATCCTCTGGGGATTGCAGTCGCCTAAACGTCAACGGACCCTTATCAGTTGTCGCTGCACTATTCCTTTTCATTCGTTAGTTGAACGTACAATATGATAACAGTATACTTGGAAACCACAATGAAAAAAACCTTTTATTGGTTATTTTATTTACTTTTCTTGAAAGAAAAAGTAATAACGCTAAACATTGTGTAAAAAATATAAATTTGCGGCCAACGTTCAAATGATTCGCCTCATGATCCATATTTTTCATAAAACGTCTCCCAAAACGCAGCGCGGTCAGCAAAGGGGTCTGTTCGATTTTGCAGTTGGTTTTCAATGCTCAAGAAGTTCTTCTCGTCCTTCGTGTAGGGCTTCCAACGGACGCCTATGAGAGGGTCGTCCTCAGGGGTTGGGTCTCTGCAAACGAGAAGACAAGATTCTTAAAAATGTTTTGTAGCCCTCAGACAAATTCACTTTTCTGTAATTTATGACTAGACATAGTATTTTTCATTGTTTGTGGTAGAAAGTAGAATAGGTTTAAGAACGGCATTAGATAATGAATAATCAGGGGTAGTTTCATCATGTTGTGTATTTGTTACAATGTTTTTTACTTGGAGTTTTGTTTCCTTTTAGTTGACGATCAATAAAAACTTAATTTCTGGATGCGTATGCACGAGTTCTGTTTGAATAATTTTAAATAATTGAGTATGTAAGGAAAGGCAACATTGTTAATCTAAATCAACGCCCAAAATACGTAAGTACCTGTGTTCAGCGTATTTCTAAAACGTATGATTTCGTTATACGTCCATTTTAACATGTAGCAACGCATCATTTCATGTATTTATTTTGTTTAAAAAACGTTTTTGAGGTCTTAAAGCACCATCAACCGTATGTTGTTCCTGTATTGTTGCCAGTGAGACAAGGAAAGCCTCGTGACATTCTCGGTTATTATTATGGTATTCTCGTCATTTCGTTTTTACTACTGATTACATTGGTTACCGAGACCACTTATGTACGATTGCTCTTCTAAATTTGTAAACATATTAAGGTACTTTACTACATGTTACATTAAACTTATTACGACGTTAAACAACTTTGACTGCTCTTCCCGCTTTTCGCATTCCATATATAACAATATTGAGCAGTGTATATGTGCTTGAGTTTTTGGCGAGATTATCGGATACAGAAACCTCCAACCCTGCCATATTTCTGAGACCTACCCAGTCTTGGCAAAGTTGGTCAGCATCCGCACCATGCGGCGTCGCGTGCGAGCTGCTGACGAATCTTCTGGGACGTCGAGAGGAACGAATCCAATATGAAGAATGTATCCCAGATCATCGCCGTGGGAGGCACCTGCACAAATAACTGATTATTGAGTGTGCGTCAAAAATATTTAAATCCTCGTATTCTAAGCAGCAGTTAAAACTTAAACCCCCAGAAGGAGCATTCTGCGACAGCGTTTGAACGACGTATTATATCAACTCATTTCCTGAAGAAAAAGATGCCCGATGAGAACAAATGCAATGGACGTAAAATCTAAAACCAAGAACATGCAAAAAATTTCCAGAATTGCATTGACAATTTCCAATAACAAATGAGAAAGTTGTTTTTGTTTCTTTATTGTCATTGACAATGCACACGACTTTACTTACATTCACTCCCAATTTTTGTAACACCTATTGAAAATTCTTAAATCTATACATTAAAAAAACTAAAGATATCTTCTAGCGTACGCAATCGCGTGTGTCAGCGTGAGGGTCTATATACAGCAGACAAGATATCGATTTTTACATTCGTATATTGAGAATTTTTAAATGGAAATATTAGTGAATACATGCAATATTCAGTAATCGTTTAAAACACGTGCCCCTTTACGAAACAGTGATTACACGTACGATTGATGCATTAAGTATTTAAATTAAGAATAGAATTATTTCTTGGTGCAGATCTTAGAAAATATTAAACATTTTAATTACATTTTCATAAACACGTTTAGATGTGCTCATAGAAAATAGTGATTGTATTGTTATAACATTTGCCCATTTTACTTGTTTTCGAGAACAAGTACTACATAACAAAGTGAAACAATGTTTTTAATATTTTCTATTTGCCGAAAGTGAATATGTAGAACTTTTCTACACCTTTTCCTAAAGTTTGATGTGACCCCGAGGGTTTAGTTACTTGTTATTAGGATGTAACAATTTTATAGCATGAAAATGACTGATGACCCCGCACAACTGTGTTTCTCAAAATAAATTATGAAATCTTTACTTACCAGGCATATCTATGTTCATAAAAGCCTTAATTGCATTTAGCTGGTCGTCCACAGAGAAGACATACAGGAAGACAGGCGATGTAGATTTCTTTACTATGTTCCTAATAGCATTCATAATTCCCTCACCAAACGTCAGATCCGAAAGCATCTGAAACAAATTTGAACTTAAGTTCATTTTTAATGTAGGGAAAGTTTGGAAATTTTGACAATTATACTGCTAGAGTTATGCAAATGTCTTTCATATTTTCCCTCAAGCTGAACACTTCATTCCATTTGAAACCTTTCATCTCACGAATGATTCCTAAAGATTTGGGACAGTGTAAAAAGCCCATGTACAGAAATGATCCATTTCCAAATGATCAAACATAGATTGTCGTTTTAAATAGGTTTAGAGATAAAAAATAGAATTAACATAAATTCAACATTTTTTCTCGCTGGTAAAATCTCTGGAACTTAATAGAGCAAATTCAACCAAAATGATATTTGCTAAACACAATAATTGGCCTACGAACATTATACAATGAAATATAAATGTATTTCCTACTATTATTGGTATATTACTGTTGGCATGGTTGAGGCAATGATTTAACAGCTTTATGATACAGTCATAAATATGGCTTCAATTACTTTCACACAACATAGACGTTGTCCAATATGTGAATGTAAGGCGCCTCAGATTCGCATTTAATTCTAACAACAGTAAATGAAATGGATACATCAGTTGCACAAGTATGCACTGCATTTATCAATTTAAAACGATAAGCAAACGCCCTCTTGAACCAAATGGTAGAAGCCACAGCGATTGGCCAGTATCAACATATAAAAACTAACATCTTCCATCACTACTTTCTTGTATACGTATGTATATACAGAGAAATATACGTAGTACAGAGAAAGTAATGTAATACTGGGGATATTCAATTTCAAGAGTTCAACGGAAATACACGTTTTAGAGGATTGCTGCAAGGCAGATAGCTAATTTAGAAATGCATATTAGTCTTGACGTACAAACTAGCAAGTACGAGCCATATTTTCGTACTTGTTACAACTAACTTGGAAGGTGTTAGGAACGTAGCACTTTTAACTGCGTATTTGTGCTGATTTATATGATATTTAGGTTGCAAAACAGTTCATTTTGAAAATGTTGGTACTTATCTCTTAAGTTTGTTGCAAGACCTTACACATAACCTCAAATACATTTTTTTACAGTAATGCATTGTTTAAATCCTTTATGAACTTACATGCATTTGTACTGGGTTTATTAGTTTAAAAGTGTATTGAGCTACATGTTGTAATTTCGAGTAATAGCTGCAATATTTCAGAACTATGAGGGATAGCCACTTGTTCTACTAAGCCATTGAATTTTCTAAATTTCTGAGAGTTCAACGAAAATTTAACCTCGTTTATTTAAGCATCTTTTTGGGGAAACAATATACAGAAAAAATGTGAAGCCATTTTCTGAGAAAATTTTGAAAATGAAACTTTATTTAAATTCCTTCCAAAGTCATAACTACGGTTTCAAAATCAAGGGACTGCGTCAGTAGTTCAATAGTGTGTGGAATATCAATTTTGATTAAAATCATGTTTGTGTTCATTTATTTATGTCAAAAACAGTTAAAAACTGTATTACGTGCTATATGGAGAAGTTAAATTTCAAATTACATTTATGTCCAGAAGCAAAACACGAGGCCATTTCAGCATTTACTCGAGGATCAGGGAAACTGGACGGAAACCTGATCGAGATGGAGGTCATTGACCCAGAAGCTGAAGTACAATACTTGTTACAGGTTCTTTAGAATTATACAATCCAAACGGTAAATAATACATTAAATGTCACTGTTAAAATTAATATTACTTTCCTTTTGGATGCTCAGTGTAGTCTCTGATGACGAATGCTAGGCAATAGAAAATATTCTAAAGAGAAAGCGGTTAATATCCAAATGCGCACGGGTTACATTTAGCTCTGAGCCGCTATGGTCGTTGACTCCGCAGCTACGCCGACGGGAATTCCCAGGGTTGGAGCCCTGACCGCAGCGCGTTTTCGACTCTGCATTGCGGAAGATGAGAGTTTGGTAATGACAAGCGGCGTCTCTATGACGACGGCTTGCGCTAGGCCAATCGGGACTCAGTTACGTCAGCATCTGCCGACTCGCGTTGCCGATGATGCATGACAACGTGAAAATAATGATCGTGAAAGTGACATATGTGGTGTCTTTCCAATGAATTCTTCTTCTTCTTCCTCAAGCATTAGACCGGTTGGTCCGTTCCGTCTCCTTGATCTAACCATCTTGTCCTGGATCTACGGACGCTTCTTCTTCCTTTAGGGATGTACTGAAGCACTTGCTTTGAAATACGGTCGTCTTCCATTATTTCCAGGTGTTTTTTCCATTGTTCTCTGTATTACTTAACTTTTTTTATTTAAGTTGTAAATTCCTATATTTTTCCGGATTGTCTCGTTTTTTAATTTGTCCATTCTTGTTACTCCCAGGACTGATCTTAAAAATCTCATCTCGGCTGCTTGATGTCTGTGTGTTCTGGAGTTTATAGTCCAGTTTTCGCTTCCGTGAAGTCCGCAAGGCACTGCCATAACTTTATAAAACTTTAGCATTGTGTCTTTACGGACCTTTCCTTTGAGAGCTCTTTTGATGGTGCCACACATCATATTGAATCTTTCTATCTTCCTTACAATATCAACTTCGCCGAGATATGATACGTCACATCCTAGAAATCTAAAGGTATTAACCTGTTCAATAATTTTGTTTTCTAATATGAATTTACATCTTAAAGGTTGTGAGCCTTGGAATGCAATGGATTTGGTTTTATTTGTAGATATACTTAGATTATATTGCTTTGTTATTTTATATAGTTCATATAGTGCCCTTTGCAGATTATCTTCTTTATCTGCAACTAAAATCTGGTCGTCAGCAAACATAAAAGTTTTAATAAAATTTGTTCTTTTAAAATTGTCTTCTATATTAAGTTTCATGATCTGTTGTTTCCATTCTCTCACAGCATTGTCTAGATATAGATTAAAAAGTATAGGTGAAATACAACACCCTTGTCTGAACCCTTTATTAATATTTCCTTGGGCAATAATTCCAGATTTTAGTGAATTTTAATGATTTCAATGATTCCAATGAATAATTGAATTGTTTATACGTCATCATCTAATAAAAACACAGAAAGTTTACTTCGAAAACATCAACTGCAAGTACCTTGATTTTCTACCAAGAGAGGTCATTCTTTTATTCCACGGATCCATTTGTACTGCATTTTGAATTGTGTATAGAAAATTTGCATTGTGTAGCAGAGAACTGCTCGCATATTTACAATGAAATACATCGTAGTATCGCGTCATGTCGTTAAAGTGCCATGAATAGCCGAAGAAAAGGCGGTAGATATTGCGCGCTTGTGCCTTGGGCAACAACGTATAATGTGCTTGGTAGCTATCACTCCTATAGTTCCATCTCCTGCAGTACTGCTTTACTCCTACGTCGAATCAGCTGAAGTCTGGAGAGGCATTCTAGCGGCCGGCTTCTCTAATGCGTAGTGCTCGAAGTTGCAGAGGCGATAAGGTTCCGCTTTGGCGAAAGTTATGAATATTAGGAATAAATTTAGGAATTTGAGATTTCATTTATCTGTGATGTGGGTGGTGCCATGTGCGTAGTAATGTGTGACATCAGCGGACTGAACTGTCAGAGTCGCTTATACGCTGTCGGATCTACAGAACATCAATCGCATTCACCTGTTGCGAATTCGTGCGATCACAACCCTTTCGCCAAGATAAAGGAATCTCTTTGCTGTTAGCATTACCGCAGAGCATAATTTAGGAGATAGAAGCTCCCTGCAAGACTCGCCTGAACTGGTCGCACTGACAAGTGAACGAGGTCTTTCAAACGGTGAGGCAGTTACGAGGCAGTAATGCATTAAAATATTGTAATTGAATAATATGTGAATAAAGCCTTGTACGAATTATAAATGTGTTGAGACTACTTCGTTTCCAATCTTTGTTTAATTCTCCTTCCAGGATGAACAACTACGCACATACGAAAGTCAAGCACATTATATAATGCTGCGGAGAACGTTTTTTTTTTAGAAAACAGTCAAGCTGTCCTACATTCTTGAAACTTGAAAATTGAATGGCTTCTAACACGTTGTGTAGTCACAATCCATTTTTTTGGGTCCTTGATGCCTAACAATTGGTTTAACGAAAAATGTCTGACCCTCCTTTTTCCTCCCTCCGTTTGTTGAATAACACTAGCGGATAAACTGCGGGCAGAATATTCACCAAAATTGGAATTCTCTTAATGATCTGGATGATATTGCAGCTTTGTGAATTGGAAACGGATATTTTTGTTTTAGGAGGAACATACAAAATACAAAGGAATAAAAATGGGTTAATACGTTAGCAATATTTGAAAGGTTGAGAGGTTTACTAATTCTGGTAGGTTGTATTGTAATGTTTGCACATGATCATATCCACAAGCCCACTAACTTTGTAAGAAATGCATTTGAAAACATTCAAAATGTATGGAAAATGATGTCACGTTCCATTACAAGCTGAAACTATAATGTCATTATTTAACTGCAACCTACCAGTAAGTACCGAAAAACACTTTTCTAATAATGCAAAGTTAACCTTGCTGAACACAATTAATCTCAATGTATGGTAAGAAAATGGTTCTTATATTGAGGTTGAAAAGCTAATTATTCATAATATATTTTAATAATTTCTTTGCATTTAATATTTTGACTAATATTAAGAATTTTCTTTCATAAAAGTCCAATAAATTTGTTGTTTTATGGAGTGTATATTCTTCTTTTCAAATGAAATGTGAGGAAACTTGGTTTTGAGTGTTCTAAAGGAAAGGAATAGGAATTAATGGAATTATGTCCTTTTTATTATGCATTTTATAACATAATTTCATAAGCACGCTTTTGCAAGCTCGTTTAATAGTAAAAAAGAAACTTACATCGATATATCCATCAATTGTATCATTTGAAAGTGGTTTGCCATCCATATAAAATTTTCTTAACGCATCGAGAGCAGCAGCATTTTTGCTACCGCCAGTAGGCAGGCGAAGTTCAGTGAGAATGTTCGCGTTCCAATTTGCATCCAACTCTCTTGCAATATCCTCGTTTCGGAAATCATGAACTATCAGAAATAAAACAAAATATGGCTAAACAAATATAAAATCCTTCACATCACAACACAGTCCTTGAGAAATAACAAAAATATTCGTAAAACAAAAACAGATGCAATTTCAAAATGTAAGTCACCGATTTGTTGGTTGTTCACACAATGTACTTACTTATTCATGAGCTACTTCCACCTCGGCCGTAGGATACCAACCGAGTCCTTCACTCCTTGATTCTTAGTATTAGTGTTCGTCGCTTACTGTTTGACATGTAAATGATTATATTGGCATATTTTCGCGACAAATAAACAGGATATCGTAGGGGAAACGTGGGGCGCCCTTACCCTCAAAAAAGGTTTTCTTAACATCAATCTTATGTGTTTTCGGACCTGTCTGTGACTAATGCATTCACAATTTTTTTATGAAACATATTATTTTCTCCGGTTTATCTGACTCAGCATTCAACACTGGAAATTTGAAAGAATTCTTTTCCTTTTACGCACTTCAGAGTGTTGCATTCATAATTTGCTCGTAACATAAATTTCTTGCAAATGGTTCCCATTTTATTATGGTTTAGTCTATCTTCACTGTTTTTCCGACCCCTTACCCGACTGCTATTCAGCGCTACCTAGAAATCTCATGAGAACTCTTGTTTGAACTGTTGCTCGACTTTTCGCTCGTCCCTTTCAATGGAAAGAGCGCCTTTAACGTAGACCATGGGCGAGTACCTACAGGGCACATCGTGCCTACATTACAGCCAGAATTCAGAGTAACGTCACATTTTCGGATATCGTAAGACAATACTAACATCACGCACGTGAAGCGGTATTTAAAACCTCTGAAGATCGGGTCCTCAGAGATTTACAATTAGGAATTATATTACCTTCAAATTCCCGTCCCCCATTAGATATAATGTAGCAAAATTATGGTTTATATGTGGGAGTAAATATTATGTCTAACAAAGTACCAAGAAGTTTTTAATATACCAAAAACGGGTTTTCTATCTCTTGTCATCACTTTCTCGCGTGTTACTTGCGAAGTATAGACAAAGTATTGTGATGCTGCAGGGGAAAGGGCGATCTTTTGGCACAGAAACTCGTATTGTGTGGGAAAAGTGAATTAATATATTGCTGTAATGGGGAAAGTGATGAATATTGTTCCTGCATGTAGTAAATAACTTCCTATAACACGACTAGTAGAAATCCACATTTTATGGGTCCTATTGATAAATTGATTAACGACAAAACGTCTGTCTTCCTGTTAAACTGTTTCCGTCTGCTTCTTGTCAACTAAAAGCGTTTAAGTCTTGCAGACGATTTTGTGCAAAATTAATATTACCCAATCGGTGTAGATAAACACAAAGTTTCCCGAATATGTAACGAATAAGTCGATTGGGGGAGGGGTGAATTTACCCGAAGTGACAAAAACATTTTCAATATTGTCTAAAAAAGGCGTCACATTTCTGGACCAAAACTTATTTGGAATAGAGCAAAGCAAGCTTTGGTGCATGTTTCATTTTCTTTGTACCTTGTTTATTTTTCGGAAATAGCAGAAATTCAAACTTTTTTCGGCATCTTCATACGACGATAATATTGAACATATTTTTCCTGTATGAAATCTCTGTTTCAAAGACAGACTTTTAAGTAATATTATAAACAATTTTTAGAAAAATATAAGTAGTTTTCCCGTAATTTTGCATTAAAAAGTCTATTTTTAAACTATTATTTCTCAAAGAACGATTTTGATTTTTTAAATTTAACTTACTTATCAAATAGAGCAAAGTCCTCTTCTAAAATTAGCACAGGCCACATTTTATGAGAAATCTCTTTATTTCTCATGACTTCAAAAAATAAATATGGTAAAACTACAATATTGTTGAGAGAGATTTTTACTTAATGAAATTTTCAAAACGTAGATGCTTAAAATACTAACTTTTATTTTCTCAAAAAGCTGTTTTTGATCTAGCAAAGAACACGTAAATTGCACAAGTCATACTTTCGTAACATTCTGAATTTTCCAAAACTGTACAGTTTAAAATAATGCAAGAATGTATGTTCTATTGTAGCATTACTGATTTACGATTGAAGGTCGTATTTTAAGTGTTCTTGGTATTACGAAATTAATATCTAAACCCTACGACGCTGAACAGTACAATGGTACTTCTGACGGATAAAACTGAAAATTCTAAGTGAAAATTCTAAATTATTACGTTTTAATCTTTGCTTCAATAGTGATAATTTTTCTCTTCTAAAACGCCACTTTAAATGCTTTTGACCTCTCGTGCTACGGTGACGGGACGCTCCCAAAAAAATAAATAAAACGTCCTGAACACTCTTATTTTATAAATAAAAGCCTAAGAAATTCTTGACTATTTAGGGTAACAAACACTTGATTTTACGAGTGCATGGCGTACCATTTCCGAGATTGGCACGATAAGAACATATTTTGAAACAAAAAAATGTATTTCGGCTTCCATCTTCATAAGGGTATATGAGGTGGGGAATTCCCTATTCTGACCAAGCATACTTATGAGATTTTCCATCGATTCGTACCAAAATTGCAAAACTATCATTAGTAGCAATTTCTAAACATTGTTAAGGTATCAAATTAACTTGGGGAAGAGTTTCTTGGCGCTGGCCTAGCCACTTCAATAGTCTCCTCGAGTTTTCACTTGCAGTCAGTGAGGTAAAATATTTTTATTTGTAGTCGTGGCTCTTTTACTAAATGGCTCTAGAAAATATTGAATTGTTATTTATTACTTATTTTTGTATTTTATATTCAAGAAGTGCGGGTATCTCACTGAATGATGTAGGAAAAAGTCATCATTTTGTTTGTGCCTTAAAAGTAAATAGTAAAAACCATTGTATTACTCACATTTTAATATCATTAGGGCCTCTTTCTCCGTAATTCCAGTCATATAGGGTACATCATAATGACAACCATCTTTCATCAACTGCTCTGCTGAAGCTGGTAGAAAGGTCTCCACTCCTGGAACCACCCGTTCTGGTGTTGGCACGAACGAGAATTTGAGCAAGCGCGCCTTATCCTGGACGAAAAATTTAGAAAGAAGACGCTTAAATCACACAAAGTGCACATACAACAAAATAATCCAAAAACATTGTGTACAAAAATTTGAATAAAGTGTTATAATTCATGAATTTTTTCAATATCTTCATTATTGAAGATATCGCTGCAACTCTCTTAATGTTAACAGGCTTTTTGCAAACACGATAACATCAAATTAAGAATAAAATACTGCCATTTTCTCTCAGTTAGCTCTGTCTCTCTCTGTCTCACTCTCTCTGTCTCACTCTCTCTGTCTCACTCTCTCTGCCTCACTCTCTCTGCCTCTCTCTCTGCCTCACTCTCTCTGCCTCACTCTCTCTGTCTCACTCTCTGTCTCTCTCTCTCTCTCTGTCTCACTCTCTCTGTCTCTCTCTGTCTCTCTGTCTCACTCTCTGTCTCTCTCTGTCTCTCTCTGTCTCTCTTTCAACAGACAACCACCTGGCAAAACATCCACGAACTCTTCTCTCACTAGTCCTGCTCGCTACACAGATTCATCAAACAGAGACATACAATTTAACTAAATGCTATTTACAATTATTATCACAGTCATTACTACATAATAATACGTTCTCCTAAACTGTAAGCAAATAAGGTAATTACAATTGAATTACGCTACAAAATTGGTATCAAATATTATACTATACGTTTGAACTCTTCAAAGCATTTTTCACCACGAAAATAAAATAATCATTGAACGTTTTAATATTGTTTGAGATCTTCAGCTAGTGACGAATCCAACGAGACATTTTGCAACCTGATGCTTCGCTCCCAACTTCTTTCCATAACCAGAATTATTGAGTGACCCTCTACCTTCTCCGGCGCTGCGTGCGTGTGAGAGAGGCGCACCAGTTCCTTGTGGTCGACACCTCGCAAGAACTCGACGATGGCGTGCGGGTCGTCGCTGGTGCAGCCGAGGGCGCGCGCCAGGCGGCGGGTGGTGTCTGCCGGCTCCGTCTGCTGCGCCCACGGATTCAACGCTGCTCCGCTGCAAGCGATGACGCGGTGGAACAGACCTGCAGGTATTTCGAGGAGGCAAGCAAAATAAGTTTCCCGTCACATGACTTCCACACAAGCGTTTAGCTTCGCGATGAACTTTGAAATTTTAAGCTTTTTTTTATTTTAATCTTGGAAGAGTTTGAAGCAGGCATTACAATCTTAAATTTTACAGGGAATTTTCTACAATCTAAATAGAAAGTCAATATTTTTCCCTTATGGGAAATCAGTTTTTCAATGAAATAAACTAAACAAGGGGGCTAGAGCACTAATTTTCTTTCGTTATTTCTAAATTTGCAATTTGCGAAAATTTAGAGAGATCAACGAAAATGAGATCCATAATTTTAAGCGTCTCTTATTCTATCAGCGGAAATATTTTGAAGAAGTTGTTATTTTTTAAAATAAATTGTATTAATTTAATGTCCCAATTAGGCGAAATCTACTCGCTTCAAAAAAAACTGTACAGGACCTCTCTAAAAATCTGATTTTGTGGAACAAACTGTGTCCAAGACAAAAATCTCTATCATCAATTTTGTAGTTTTGAAATGTTACCTACTTGCAATTGTTTAAAAAATGGCTGAGTTTGCCAAAAAGTGACTAGCACCTTTTTACCGTCCCTTCGTACATAAGAGGAAAAAATTCAAAGAAAAAAAGGTGACGTTTTGAGAACTAATTTGTTAAAAAAAATTAAACATTTGCTACATTTCCCACAATATATTTCCCGAATTGTCGTTAATGAACAGACTTCATGAAGGAAAAAGCCTTTTACTCAATATTTTATATGTACGAAGACGCCCTAAAAATTGAATTTAAAAATATTATCACTATTGTCAATCGAGTGCAAAAGGGATTCCTTTAAAAAAGTAAAAGTTATGAGAATTTTATCATGAAGGGTTTACACAGATATCCCGATTAAGACTACAGTTTTCTTGGAAGAAATGACGGACGGAGAGATTATGAAAATTATAAGGAAATTTTCAAATTGTGGAGTTCCTTATTATCTTTGGGTGATAAAGTAAAGAGCAATGCGCCTCGCCCACCTTTGGACATGGGCGAGAGCGTGTGGAGATGCACCGACACGGCACCAGCGCTGGGGCCGAACAGCGTCACGTTGCCTGGATCTCCCCCGAACGCCGCGATGTTCTTCTGCACCCAGCGCAGGGCTGCCACCTGATCCTTCAGCCCCACGTTGCCAGGGGACGCCTCCTCCATGAACAGGAAACCTGCGAACGAACTTGCATTTAACAATGCGACGTGCTACCTGCTTTTTGGAAAAGTACTTTCGTTGAAAATCTCGCGTTAACAAAATATTAAGTTCAAATGTTCAGATTGTAAGCTTCTTGTAAATATCGTTATTTCATGAGTTTTCTTAACTATTTCTTTGCACATTTCAGTCCTGATGCCCCCGAAGTTTCTTTTATTTTTTATTTATTGATTTTTATTATTATTTTAAAATTTATTGCGGCTACATAGACGCAAAGCATCTCCTAGCTCCTTAAAGGGCGTTGAATGCACCGCGGAGGAAGACTCCGTTATTAATCACAGTAGTCAAGTCACGTCAGTCGCAGTCACGTGAGGGAATCGCCGATAGGTAGCGTCTACGCGCTCACGTCTCGCACGCGCCCATCTACCGATCGACCAGAATTGGGAAGGAATAAGGATAGGGGTACGGTTCAGCACGCTTCGCAAGGGGTTGAATTAACCCCTGTGAAGCATGCTAACTCGTTGCAACAAATTTCACATGTTTATTTTATAATTTTTACATTTTAATTAATTCTACACTCAAAAGAAAGGCGGAGAGCAACAGTTGAAATTGCTATATCATTGTTCGAATCTTGCAATTGTTACATATGAAATACAATATTAGTCCTTGAATGGATTGGAGTTGTGTAGTCTAATTTTCTCGCAAATCGCAGTAATAGTGGGTCTCACAATCAAACACTGTTAATTTCCCAACATGCTTTGAGAAATTTCATTTTATGAGAATAGAGTTCATCAACAACTCCATGACATTTGCACAAAACTATACTACTATTAAGAAATAAAACCATTGAAAGTGAAAAATTTTGTTTATTACCAAACTTTCTGCTCTCTGAATTTGAAGTAACTACATTTAACTGTAGTGTTGTTCAAGTACTCTACTTTTGTACGAACGTAACATAAATTTTAAAAATCAATAGGTGTAAACGAATTCCGTAAGATCATTTTTTAGTCACAAGAAAATTATCGACGCCGACAAAATCGTGATACAGAAATATAGGTAAACACTTCGTCAGCCACACCTGGTACCCAAAAATTGCAAACGCAAAAAATTGTGATATGGTATAAACATATTTAAAATTTGAGGTAATATTTTAATGAGAATATAATAACTTTTCTAGAATAATTAAATTGCCTTACGTTTTACCAGGGGCACACCCAAAGGGGGCTTCTGTGCCCCCCCCCCCAGAAGCAGACAATGTGTTTCCATAGGGACAGTTTTTACTTATTTCAATCGTATAAGTAATTTCATTTCAATGTGTTCTTGCAATTAAATATAAAGAAACAAATTAAAAAAATAATTTATCATAAATAAATAAACATTTTTAATGACTTCACAGTGGCTAGACGATATCTTCCTCGTTGAAAAACCTGGATACACTACAGCGTATTAGTTAGGTGATTAATATGTATTATTGTTCAAATGTAGGCTAACGGCTTACCGAGAACTCCGAGCCTGTAGTTGATTGTGACCACAATGACATTCTCTGCCACCAAGTAATCCGGGCCGCCGTAGTCTCGGTTGCCTGAGCCGCAGATGAACCCTCCACCGTGGACGTAGACAATCACGGGGAGCGGGCTGTTTGTGGCGGCGGGCCGCTGTGGGGTGTACACGTTCAGAACGAGGCAGTCCTCGGCCCCGTCGCAGGTGTTGGACATCAAGTTGAATTGGGTACAGATGTCTCCTTCCTTGAAGGCGTCGCGAACGCCCTCCCACGATTCCGCGGGTTGCGCATCCTGCAAACATCAACGTAAATGTAGATTCGCTATGCGCACGTGTTGTTGAACTCTACTATTTTTCAAATATTGCTAATCTTGTGATTTTTAAAATGTATTTTTATTTTTTATGTTAAACATTTTCGCATCTTTGAACTATTTATAGTTGAAATGACGGGAAGGGATTCTGGAACATACAGTTTTTACTTTTTTTTACTGAATAAATCTAAAAAATCTAAAAAACCAACATGTACTTCTCAATAGAAATCATTACAATACCTTGGACATTAAAAGGTTATTTTTCTTGCCATCACTAACTTAACTAACATGGAAGAAAGATATTGATGTATTTTTAAGACAAAAAATTCAGGGAAGTACACGATTCCTGGTGGAAATGGTTCAAAGTGTAGTTTGAAATCTTCTGCCCGCTGCAGTCCGTCCGAGATCAGGAACGCAGCATTGTTTACGCAGATCTGCCTTCAAAATATTAATAATTTTGTTTGATGCAATGTGAATTTCTCCTTATGTTGCGACGGCATCTGTTAAAATAACCACCTGAATTCTTTTATGTTCAAATTCCTTCGAGCAGTCCGGTTCTAAACATTCTGGTTAATACTAGCTCCTACGTCTTCACTATAACATCGCAAAAATGCAGTCTTGCAGTGAGCTGTGCTATCTTTATCTCCTCCGTCTTTTCTAGGTCGGATAAAAGCATTGTAAAGAGCCTGGTCACAATCCTTCGGATTATTGAAGTTCTTTGGCGTTGCTATTACTTGATATAGGAATTCTTTATTATTTTCTTTCATTGAAGCACACAATATCTCGCGTGAGAATAAGATATTTTCTGATTTACTCATCCTATATAGTACTATGTTTTATATTTAATTTTGTGTTGTATTCATGACATATCATTGTACTTTATCTTTACAGTTTTCAAGGCAGTAATTAATATGACACTGAAAGTACTTACAACAAATTGGAATATTGAGTATTTTATCGAGACCGAAAAATAATAGGTTTGCAATAACTTATTGGGGATTAGAATCAAATTTATTTTCAAAATTTATATTGTACAGTGTGAGAAAAAGAGAGAAGACTGATGGCCAAATGATGTATATTCGGATAGACATATGATCTCTACAACACTAGGAAATCATCTCTCTCTTTGAATGAAACTGAAAAAATTGATAATAAAATAACTGAAGAGAAGAAATGAATAAAAGACGATTAACTTTAAATAGATAAATAGATAGATAGATAGATAGATAGATAGATAGATAGATAGATAGATAGATAGATAGATGTGTAAATGTTAAAATCCCCATTTGAGAATAAAGTTTAGATATTAAATTAAGAAATACGAAGTTAACGTATGATTCTATCTTTGCGTAAGTCACAAATAATCACAAATACATTCTTCTTACTTGAAGCGCAGCGGGCCAACAGGAGGCGCGCGCACTCCCTGGAAGCTCCAGAAGGCTCCTCCGGCGCGGGACTCCACGCGCCGCCCCCGCAGCTGCCCCTCCGCCACGCGCACCGTCGCCGTCTCCTCACTCATCATCACTCGTCACTCGTTCACTATGCTCCTGCAACCCGTAAGGCACACAATGTAACTCTAATGCAGTCAACATCTTTCCCTCAATTGCTCTTTGCAATGCATTTTGACTTTCATGCAGATATATTTGTTCTTCGATCTCATTGTCAGTGATCCATTGCACTACAGGTGCAACTTCAAATTAAAATCACCGTGAGGTCACAATTCTCAACAGATATCTTGCCACTAAGAGAAAAGTGATTGAGAAAGCAAGAGAAAAATATGTTTGGAAATTATTTCATTATAGATCAAAAATATACTCAACACTTCATTAAATTCGTTTTACTCAAATTTTTCAAATTTGTATAAATGCCACTAAGAATAATCTAAGACCTCAATTCACATATATTTACATTGGCTAAAACACAATAACTTGAAGAGGATCATCAGCGTCTGAAATTTATACGTTATAAACTGTGAAAGGAAACACAAGAACTTAAGCAAAAAATTAAATATATATTAAAGAAATTATTATTAAAAACTAAGAAATATTATATGATTTGTCTTCGTTAAATATGTTGTTATAGCATTTTATCATCTAACTTGTTATCGAATTGTGCATTTTATTTACGACAATACTTAAAATTAAGCCCATTTACTGAATGATAACTTTTAAAAACAAAATTTACACTGTAGAACATTCATGCACTTGATTCATTCACGTTTTAAAATACAAAATAAATCTAAACTTTACAATAATAGTTCTGCAGAAAGCGTTAAATGAGACTTAACCATCTAAAAACTTTTATTAAACACCTCAATTGATCAAAAGTACTAAAGACATATGAACTCCTCAAATTGCAGATGTAAAAGTAAAGACAATGTCTAAACAAACAACATATGTGGCTGATATTACACATATAGGAGAGGACCAAGTCGTAATTAGATGGTGTGAAATTGGGGTGCAATTCAAACTTTTTGTAGGCAACATTCCTCATACTCAAACGGTCTTTATCAAACTACATTAGGTCATTAATCATGTCAGTTAATAATGTCTCGCGACCCTGTTGATAAGATAACTTATAAGTGCCGTTGACGGAACGGTTTTTTCGAGAAGACTTTATCAACAGATATTTCTGCATGCTGACGGAGAATTTTCACCAGACGTTTTAAAGAATAGTTTATGGAAAATACTCCCATTGTTCTTTATATCAGAAGTGAAATGTCACTGTATAATGTGTTGATAGTATACATTAAGCAATTCTATGGGTACAGTTAACTTACGCACTATTCGCATTTCCCCATATAATAGCCAAGAAACCATTCGTAAAATCGTAGAAAGAATTATGGTTTCATTTAGTAAGGACATTAACAACACCCAACCCTTTCCTCTTTTGCGAGCTGAATATATTCGCATCTTCCGTAGATAAATATAATAAATAAAATACATTTCAATAATTAGTATTCAAGCGATTTGAATTTAGCTCAGATGCGTCATTTAGGCTTGAGGATCTTTTACATAATTAAAGATGTTGTCATTTCCAACAATATTTTTAATGCAATAGCAGCTTTAGTCATCATCATCAGTTGTCTGCTAGATGGAAGCCACGAAACGACTACCATCTAGCTTCCATCTGGCTTCCATTTAGCAGACAACTGATGATGATGGCTAAGCCATCGAAAGCAGCTATTGCATTAAAAAATATTGTTGGCAATGACAACATCTTTAATTATTTTAAAAATGCCAAAGATATCACACCACAACACCTATGATCTTTTACATGCAAATAAATCTACTAACATGGAACAGCCGGCTTTACTTCCACCCGAAGGAAGGCGTACGAAGGTTCTTCTCGCTCTTAAAAATCCACGGCTTCGATCGGGTTTTGAATCCGCCCACTTTCGTATAACTGTCCGATACGCAAACCATTACACCATCGCCACCTTCTATCTTTTACTGGACTGGACTGGGGACACTGGATGTGAACTCACGTCTGTAAACCAAATATCCAGTTTCTTTACAGAAGCCAAGGTTCCGAGTTGAAGAAAAATCGAGATGCATTTTGTAACTAATTTTCTTTCATATTGAAAGTTGAAGTTGACTCATGTTCCAATCCTCGCGTCATTAATTCGAGAAGCCCGTTGCTATGATCGGTAGTTTTCTGTGTTATGTCCCATCAATACCTGGCGAATGCTGGAGCAGCACTTTAAAAAACTGGCCATGGCCGCGCTCTATTTTGTCTTTCTCGCCCTTGTTGCCTACGTACACACACACACACCTACACTTAACGCACTTCTCTACCGCACTCGCTGGGAGTCCGGTCGCGATCTTATGAGGGTCTGTCGGCTGCGTTGGTGCCTCGCTCGTGGGAATATCCGGAAGTGAAAATACCGAAATTCGATAAGTAGGGTGGCACCGGATTTCACGTTCCAGTGGGGAAGAAACATTGCACATAGTCCATTCACTTTAAACATAGTTCATACTATACACCGCCAGGAGTATATCATGAACTACACTTACGGGATTAACACAGTAGTTAAGGCACCCGTGAATACAACAAAAAACAATCAAGAATTCCAAAAATGAAAAGTGGATCTAACAGTTCACTTTTCACATCTCTACTGATACCCAGGTTGCCGTGACGCACATTTCCAAAACCTGTCGAAGTTTACATACCTTGCTCTGCACGTTTGTCTGTCCTGTTAGTCGGCGATCTCCCACTGTAGTGTAGCAGCAGAACTCACACGCCGCGCCGCTTGCCCCAGCCACTCACGAGGAATGACTGGGGTCGTATGCCTCCGCGTGACCTCGCGCATCAACGGGCGCCGGATATGACGTCACACGGCCGAGGCCACTTGCGCTCAGAGCGAGCTCTGCGCGTTGAATACACGCCGGAAGAGATGCGGAACAGTTCTAATCAATTGGGGAGCGCTTTGGGGCAGTGTTGCCAGTTCGGAGGGAAACAGCTGCCTCTGCAGTAGAACCAGGAGGCAGGAATGTTACGAAAGAGCACAGGAGTAGACAAGAAGTGGGAGGCAACTACACTTCTGGGCCCCATACGCTATCCTGAAGTTTTTGGAAGGTGAGTGATATGCTAACACTGTTGTATTAAGAATCGAATCTGAATTTACATATTTTTTTCGTACAATATTTGTACATTCTCGAACATTTTTCTACTGTTTTCGACCGATTTTGGATTGTTTGGCTCTTTTTAAGGAGATTCTACAGGAATCGTGACTAAATTCGTCACCTCTCCACGGTAGATTCCAGAGTTCACTCTTTTTCCTAGAATTCGTCGGTTATACCATACGTAAACCCGCAACATTTTCCTTTTTTCATAGTTTTTGGAAAGTTAACTTATGTCATTTTTACTTTCTCGCGTTTAAGAAGGAATGTCGTTAGACGTTATAAATTGCTGCGCGAAAAAACGGCAAACTTTCGGCAGAAAAACTATTATTTCAGAGCTTTGATAACAGAAAAGTCGATAAATTCAGTTGCTAAATTTAGAAAAAAATCTTCCGTCACGTTTTGCAGCTAGAATCCCTGTTAAGTGGGTCCTTCATACCTAAAAGTCAATTGACGGCAAAACGTCTGTCCGTCCGTCTGTCGTCTGTTAACTACGCTTGCGGCTAAACTGTACAGGCGATTTTCTCCAAAATTGATATTCCCCGAACGATCTGGTCGAGGTCGCGATCTCTTGAATTTCAAATCGATGTTTTCATTTTGGTTGGTACTTCACATCAAAACTCTACGACGTTTTAAAAATTTAAAAAATGGTGCCGACGACTTCGATTACATTAAATTTTGTTGGTGAATAATCTGAAGAACGTTTAAGAAAATGACGCAGGTTTCATGTTGGTTAAAAACACTGAGATTTGAAAATTGAAAAAATTAAAATTGTATTCTGTTATTTTTCACGTTATTTTTCGTTAACTAATGGCAGTTTTTAATTTTTGTTTAAACATTTTTTTTTCAAAAACGGTCAGAATCCATGCGTTGTGGGCCTTTGATACCGAAACATCGATTCACGGCAAAACGTTTGTCCGTCTGTCACAGTATTCGATAATGATTTTGTTAAACTGCTAACTACCTGTTTCTCGTGTAGTTTGTTTCGCTAAAGCCGAAAAAAACAATAAAAGTTGATCATCGGGCTGAATTTTGACGCAACATGTCGTTTCTCCTGACATTTTATTTGCTTGTAGGTATCTGACATTGTTAATTCCACAAGAGATATCAAACATTCGCCAGACGATCACACCCGTTGAGCAACTTTGGGAATACGTTTGATAACCCACGTACACTACGCGCCGACTCGTTTCGTTCTGTACGTGAGTCACTACGCGTCATTTGTACTCTGCATGTTGAGTGAGAAGTGTTGATATTTCTGGATAGAACACGACTTATCGTCACGTAGCCTTCGAGTGTTAATTTGTGTACGAACAAAGCATTGCAATGTCCTTGGAATGCTGCGATAGTCTGTAAACCATCCAAACAATTTCTGTTATATGTGTGGTGAGATAACTTAGAAGAGCCAAAAGAGGACATTATTCTCTTGTTCTTGCCTATGCTGCCCAAATGAAACAGACGTATGGCATCATTAAAATTTTTGTTATCGAAGATACACTAGCAACAGCATTCATGGATGGTACGCGGCAATTTGAAAGTTATCGCACAGATCTCCAACAAGAATGTTATAAACTTTGCTGTTCTGTCCGCGAGTGGACTAGCAGACATCACAAAAATCATTTAGGTAAAAAGCACTGGCCTCAACGGATCAACGACTTCTGATACGAGGACAAAAATATTACTTTGCAGCCACGTGTAAATCCTTGGTCGTGAAACTCAGATAGATTAGATACTTTGTGAATGCGATGGGTAAAAGTGGGCTAGGTTTCCTATATTTAAAGAACAAATTTCCGAAAATAATTGAGGCGAAAATAAAGGAGGATGTATTTGTAGGACCACAAATAAAGAAGTTTTGGGGAGAGTTTGAATGGTGTTGAAAAGGCTACATGAAGTTGCTTCTTAAATGTCCTAACTGAATTCATTGATAAAAGAAAAGCTAAGAACTATGAAGAACTAGTGTCCAAACGTCACAAATATTAAGCTGTGAGCTACGAATACGATGAGCGATTTCGCAAAGACATTGGAACAATGAAATAACGTAATTAAGGAAAATGGAAAGGGGATAGGAAACGCGAAAATAGCCCTTGAAAATTACATTTTAATTGAGAGTATAATATGTAAATGTAGTGAGTAAACCATTTACAACAGTATGGGATAATTACATATGCCTATTAAACATTACTAAGTGCCTATTTAACCGTTAAAAACCGTTACAAATAAATATTTGATAATTTCAAATCAGAAGATCATATCCCACAATGAAACAGCCACTCTGTCCCAATTAACAGGCAAAGAGTTAAATTTTGTCCAACTGTGTGAAACGCGAGCACCTAAACAGTTCAGCCGAACTTCTTCAAAATAAACCTTTCCCAATCGATCTGAGCGATATCGCGGCGTCTTCAATTTGAATCCGTCATTATCTTTTGGGAGGAACTTTCATGAAGATCATAGGACAATTTCAAAAAAAAAATTAGTCCAATTTTTTTATTCCCGTATACGTACGTATTCCCGTATACGTAGTATAGGAAAAGTTACGTAATGCTGCGGAAAATAGATTTCGACGGAAATACACGTCTTGGGGTCCCCTGATACCGGAAAAGGGGTTTTTCTTCAAAACGTCCATCAGTCTTCCGTCTTCTGTTCCATGCGTCCTTCGTCTTCGTCTTCGTCCTACCGTCTTCGCGTATTCCGTCGCTTCCCGTCTTGTCCTCCGTCCTTCGTCGCATCCGTCCTTCGTCATCGTTTTGCCGTCCTACCGTCATACGTCCTTTCGTCCTTCATCCTATCTGTCTTCCGTCCTTCCGTCCTTCGCGTCTTCGTTTAGTCCTTCCGTCTAGCCGCCCTTCCTTCTGTCTGGTGTATGTGAACAACACTAGCACCTAAACCATGCGTAGGGTTTTTCCAAATTGAAGAAACTCCTGTCCACTTAGCCTGAATCGCAGCTATTGCTATTGAAAACCCATAATAGTTTTTGGGGGTACTTTACACGAAACACCTAGGACATTTTCAAAATTTTCTCAAAAACGGCTCCACATTTTTTCTTCAAATTTATTCTAAGAATAGAGTAAAATACACTTATAAAGGTGGCGTAGGTCCGACTTTCATGGTTATTCTCAATTTTCGAAAATTTCAAAAGTTTGAATTTTTCTGGGTCTTCTTAGAACTACAAAATTGAAGATAAAAATATTTCCTTCAAATAAATTTTTTTTCGATAGTGACTTCTTTCATTAAAGTATTGCACATTTTTTGAATATTTTAGTACTTTTCACACAATATTGCATAATGTGCAATTAAAAAAAATACAAAACCATTTTTCTCAAAAACTGCTCCTAATTTTTTCCTTAAAGTTTTAGTAGGGATAGTGTTAAATATACTCAATAAGATGACATAACAGCAATTTGCTGTATTCTTTTGTTTTTTAGAAATATACAAAAATGTGACTTCTTTACTTGTCTCTCATGTCGTTAATATTTATAGCGTCTATTTGTTCACATTATTGGATTTATAACTACATGTGCTTTAAATAATGTCATATGATGTTTCTCGAAAATTGAACTGTGACTGAACGTTTACTGTGAAAATTAACTCACAACTCCGCATTTCCAGAAACGTTCAAACGCCATTTTATTGAAAACGACTCCAATTTTTTCTTCATACATTTCGAACAAATAGTGCTGATTTCACTCTAATACGACGTAAAATTGATTTCAGTGTATTTGTCTTCTCAATAAATTACGCAAATATACATTTTTTGAAAGATCTCTCACGTCGTTGATATGCACATTTCTACCAATTTGTAAACACAATTGTATTTGTGAGTTAAAGTACTTCAGATGACTTCGAATTAAGTTTTTCGAAAACTCAAACATTTTCTGTGAAAAAAGCTTCAAATTTCAAATTTACAGTAGCAATTAAAGGCCAGTGGTTTTCAAAAACGGCTTCAAACTTTTGAAATAAAATTATCTTTTGTTACGAGGTTTAACTGTTTTTAATAATCTTACAACAATATTTCCGCACTAAAATTAGAAAACCCAAAAATTAAGAAAATATAAAAAAATGTACTTTGGGCGGCGAAGATGGCAGCAGGCAAGGATATGTGGCAAGTCCGAGTAGCTAGCTGAGACCAAAGGAAATAGAAAACTAATACGGGAAAGTTTGTGCCATTTTGTAGCACCACTAGTTACGCCTATCAAAGCAATTTTTAGTAGCCAGTCATTGTCTGCTCTGATTGTTGAGTGGGCCAAATGCGTGTTGAAAAGGCCGTCAAAAATGAGTCATCGCTTTTGCCGCCTTCTGCAACGGCAGCGTGCCTGCCCGGAGGCAGTGTGCCTGCCCTCGCAGCAGCAGCGAAGTCCCGAGCCGCTCATGTTCCCACGGCGGTTTTGTTCCGCCCACCGAAATAATTGCCTATTCTACAGTTTAATTTTATATTATTTAATTACGATGAATGTCACATTACAATATAATGTTTTTCAATGACGTGCGTGAAATTACTCGTATTCATAGGTATCGACGCAGGTCCATCATCACCGTTAGATGACGCGCGTCAATGCAATGCTCATGTGACGAAGGCCTTAAAGCGCACTCGTGTGGTTCCGTTCTAATACGAGAAATCGAAAGACTTTCTAGGGAGCATTTTGTCTCCGTTTTGGTATTATAATCGAGATTCTTAGTGTCAGCACGTTATTCATATTACTTCTACATCACTAGTTTAGCTGAATATTTGAATTTGTAATAGATTTTTTTATATACATTATTTCAAATCGAGATTTAAATAACATATTTCGTGAAAGAAAAATACATCTTTCACCACTATTGTAATTTTCCAACGTAAATAATTTTGTTTGCAATTTTTGAAAATGCAGAGAGTTCACAAAAAGTAGACCTGCTCCATTTTATAACAAATCCTGACTTCACATAGTGTTAGAGGATGTAATTTAGTACATGTAGCAAAGATACATGTAGAAACATTAGTACATGTAGCAACGTTTTCTCCAACCAAAAAAAAACAACAAAAAACATTTTCCGCTATACTTTCTCTTTACTACGTAAGTACGTAGAAGTAAAAGATGAATCAAAAAGAAGTACTGAAGAAATGTCCCAAGCGTGGCTTGCATTCAATAAAAAATGTAATGTTGTGTAACAAGTTCTGCACAATGGCGTAAAATTTCCAAGACCATTCTACTTCTGCACGTTCAAGTGATCTGGCAGAATTAATGTGGAGTTGTCCCCGGTTCTCCAACGCAATGAACCTTAAACATTTTCTATGAAACTTATCATAGAGACAGTCTATTTAAGATTGGCGGTGGTATGGATTCACATAGAAAACCTATTTTCAATTCAATTTTATTATTAATTTGTTTACAGGCTTGTCCTATTACAAACATAAGTAATAAAGTAACCCACAAAAACTCAAATAATAGTAATACATAACAAATATAAATAACACAGTAGCACAATAACAAAATAACATAGTAGCGTAAGATACAAAATAAGTGAGAAAACAGAGCACACAAATATATTCAAAACGACATGTATCAATCAGATATGATAAGGTACTAATTATTCCATCATTAGAGTGCTAGTAGAATTTAGCTTCAACTATTCATTCATAATAAATGCTCGTAATTTCAGAATTCAAGATTGACGAAATAAAAATTTACAGAGTTTTGGATCTTTCAGAGTTTAGTTCAATTTATACTATTATATTAGCTAATCATTACCTCAATTTATTTATGTCATCAATAAAATGACGGAGAGAGTACCGTTAACATATTGAATGATTTATTGTAATGAACTATTTTAAAAAAATATTTGATGTAAAATGCTTTGGTTGAATCTCAAAATATTTTCTGAGATAACATTTTGTTTTCAAAATATTAGTTAACAACGTATTAGTAATATTAGGCAACAACGTATCACATTACCAATGTAAACACCGCGAACTCCCGCTTCAGTAAATTCTGAAATAACTTGCCACTTTAAAATACAAGATATTTCTTCAACTCACCTTCATGCAATTCAATGTTATTAAATCAAAATAGACTTCCCTCTTTCGGAAAAATCTGCTTTTCAGAGTTGGCATAAGATAACATTACAAACAGCATTTCACATGCAAATATGAACGTTCACATCCGACCACGTGCCTTAGATTCTCTGGACGGCTAACAAATGGTATCGAGAATACGGGTTCTTAAGATCGCGAGATTACCAAACTCAAATTTTGCATGTTAATGAGTAGTGATAAGGAGCAAATACTTTTAAAGTAAAATTGTTTCTATATGGTGGCGTGAGAGGTGTTACGATCCAAACTTTTCATAAAATTTTTCCCAGAATGCAGCTCTGTCAGCAAAGAGGTCTGTGCTGCTTTGCAACTGATTGCCAATATTCAAAAAGTTCCTCTTATCTTTGGTGTACGGCTTCCAGCGTACGCCCAACAAAGGATCGTCTTCGGGGGTTGGGTCTCTGCACAAAAGAAGTGTAATTAGAACGTTTTAAAATTAAGTAATAACGAGTAAATATTAGTAATAGATAATAAATTAAGGAAAAACAACTTCAAAAATTAAGCTTCACGATACTTTTTATGTTCGGCAAGAATTAAAAAAAATGTAGTGTATTTCTCTCATTTCTTGTTTCTTTAAAGAACGCTTAAATGAAATAGGTTTTCAGATAAATGCAGGCAGGTAATTCATTTTCATTAGGTTTTAAAGATATAAATAGATCCCGAAGTCTCAGGAGTGCCAAGTATTTTTTTCGGAATAAAAGGAAACTTTGCGTGATCCACTAGTGTTCATCAATTAGGTACAATTCTCCAATTGTTTTTTGTGCTTACAAAGGTAAGCTTTCCCAATGTATCAGTTGGATTCTAATATTTGCTTTGTAGCAATCTGGAGATATAATTCATTCTCCCATCTTCAGAAGTGTATAAATTAAACAGTGTGATATAGTGATATTTTGGTATTTCATGTAAATTATCACAAATGTCTTACATCTAGTATTCCTAAAGCTGTCAATTTCCCTTCCTGCTATCACACACTCTTATGGGTTCACATCACTTATGAGCTCATCTTCTACTTGACATAATAAAATAAAGAATTGTGGTATTTTTCTTTGGCTTACCCGCTCTTTGCAAAGTTGGTCAGCAGCCGAACCAAGCGGCGACGCGTGAGGATGGCTGGCGAATCTTCCGGGGCGTCCAACTGAACGAATTCCAAATCGAACATGTAACCCTTCTCATCACCGTGGCATGCACCTGCAAAACAAGACAGTTACGATCTCAAATTATTTTTTCCCTGATAGCACATATAATCGATAGAACGAACAATCAAACTTTCCCGTTCTCCGTTCTCAATCCTCCATCTCGGAATACTAAAGCCGTTATTTCGTCTTGTTTAAAAAATTATACTCTACTCTTTCGGTATTTTGGCTTCCAATGTTTTGAATCTTTCATTTTTCTCATACGTTATACGTCTAATCCTCAGAGGTTATCTAGGAAAGGGAATATTGTTTCTATCGCATTCAACTTGCATCCATTTATTTTCACTTTAACATTATTCTCAAGTAAAGACGTTACAAGAAATGAAACTGTCTCAAGAAACTGTTATATTTCTTGTCAATTGTGATAATTGTGAAGATGGGGACGGTTGAAGTAGTTTTATTAAGACTTTTGTATTTTGTGAGCTGCTTTGTAGGGAGAGATAAAATGAGTTTACAATGTTAAATGTTGTAATGTTTACAATGTTAACATGTGCTGGAAGATGTTTGAAGATTAGCACGAGAATCGGTTGTGTTATGGAATGTTACTTTATCCGAGAATCGGAATGTTACTTTTATCCAATTAAACAGTTGTTATAATTTTATTTGTTTGATTATTTTTTCATTTGGTATAAGTCAAGTTACGCGGAGAATATTTCATTTTGTGTTCTTTCAATTTTCTGGACGTTTGCTTTTGCCGTAATTTCATAGACGGGTGGATTATACATGGAACATATGAAGATTGTTATTGCTGTCTCGATAGATATTTCTGAATGTTAATTAAAATGAATTTTTTAACGTTTTTAATACGCGTCTTTTGTGCTGTTAAGTCTATCTCGTATTTCCATATTAATCCTAAACTGTAATCATAAATTTACCTACTTCATTACAAAGGTGGGGGTAGATAGATTACAGGCATATAAATTATAGTTATAGGTTTCTTTTTCTGAATGTTATTCTGGAATATAATCATTAATGGTTGTCACAATAGGAAAAAATCCTTTAACTACATTTTGTGACGTTTAGAAATACTTTGTTGACAAAATTTAAAGAAAAGTTTTCCTAGGTAAGCAAACACTATCATCATGATGTTGATTCGGGAGTGAATTAATCACCAAATCCAGTGGAATCTTATTGTGTTGGCGTAAAACCAAATCTCATACCACACAGCTTATATCAATATCTAACAAAATGGCAACTATCGTAGGCCAAGCTTCATAGCATGCTGAATAAACGTTCTAATGTTTATATGGTTCTTTGTCTTGTGAGTACATTACAACTTGTATTGATTTTTACAGTGTGTATGTAGGTTCGAGTTGCCTGTCAGTGTTAGTGATTAATTCGAACTACTTCCTAATTGAGGTAAGCAAACATTCCTAATTTTTTTTTACCTAAAAGCACCACCCTGATACATTTGTTTTTATTAGGCAATTGCGAGGTTTGCCGGCTCTTTCCGCTTGCTAATGAAGTTCCCAGGTCTGGTTTTAATTCCTCCGTCGGAGTTACTGTATACACTTTTACTATATATTAATAAAAATCACATCTTGTATATTTATTGCTTTATTTTGTAATTATTGTTTTCAATGTTAAACTTGTTTAAATTATTCATTGATTAACGTTAAAATTGGTTTTTAAGTATTGTTTTTTATCTGTTTTGGTAATGATATGTTTTATCTGTTTTGGTATGTAACCGAGTAGCCCCAAAATTGCCGCCATCTTAAATTTTGTATTGGCACGGGTATTGTAGGTATTATTATGGGTATTGTAATTGTTCTTGCATAAAACATACAAAAAAATTATTCTATTATAATTGTGCAAATTTCGGTAGGTTTTCAAATTATTTGATAACATTGTTTTGTCGGGAATACTGTCATGACACGAGCGTCCGTTGGCCGTGTGCAAGATATTGTGTTCGCGCTTTTGACAAGAAGGATAAAGGGACCACCAACGATCAACTTATCGATTAGTTCTATTGCGATATTATTTCTCTCTTCTTCAGAATCAATTTTGACTTTCTCAGTTTCCTCACTAGAATTCCCAAGCGGTGGGAAAGAACTTGCGCTATCAGAAGGGTCAGAAAGATTATCAGCTTCACTGTTTGATACTTCACTTTCATTTGCATTAGAGGCATACTCATCAAGACATCTATTTCCCGTTCGCTAAGCGGTTTCCACGCCATTGTTGACACTGTGATAGTGTAGCACAAGTCCAACCAATGTGGAAGAATCAAACTCAAACACAACTAAGCCTAACATTCAAACACACAGATCGTTTTGTATACATACCACATTCCTCCAAACATAAGGGGAAACATACGAACAACAAAAATAATTACTCATTGGTAATGAGATAACTAAAGGAATGGGGTCAGGGTGGCTTCACGATTGTAAACGCGCCTTATTTTGGCCAAAAGGCTTCAAATCAGCATTTCAACATTTCAAAAAATAGTGAGAGTTAAAAAATATTATTTTTATAATAAACAAGACTGCAGTAAGTTGTCACGAAGGCTCAAATTTCGGAGAAACAAACTGTAGAAGACACAGCCAGAAAAGCGCCTGATGGGATCAGATTGCACCCATGTTTGCACCGAGGATTAATCGTATTTGATGACAGATGTGTAATGCGAGTTTAAAGATGGAGCACGTTAGGTGTCTGTGTTAATAAGTTTTGGTTGAAATGAATTTAATTGTCGTAAACTATACTCTTTGAACTGCGACTTAATATTTGCTTTCCATTTATTTACCCAGTATATCAGTAAATTTAATCATTTTGTTGTTGTTCGTCCTAATGAAAAAGCATTAGGAGTCGAATATTTAGTGGTTTTGTGAGTAAATATGACAATTACTGAGCGAGTTAAATGCGTAATCTCGTAAATAATTGTTAAACAATTTATGTACTAAAGAAGTATTGTGGCACACCCGCTGAAATTGAATGTTCCGCTGAAGTGTCTAAGTTGATTTATCTTTATTTTACGGCATTAGAGGAAACTATTATTATTATTGCTCATTCATTATTATCACTCATTTTGTAGAAAAGTGTGACTTTGAATCAGACTTTTAATAAAGATTTTCAAAGTCCAAGAATAAGACAAAATGATGTTTGAATTTTTGAAAAGGATTTTCAGTGTGGCCTCTCAATCGTTACAACCGATGTGTTGTGGAGGCTTTACTGTGAAAACTAAACTGAACTTGAAGAATATCTACTTTAATACTGAAAAATATTTATTCGCGTTAGGATATATAAACTAGCCAGAATTTATTAATTCATTAAAGTAAATTTTCATTAAAGTGAACATTCATTAAAGTAAACTTTATGAATGCATCTTCAGTTTCTCAAGTATATGTATAAAAACACTGAGGAAATCGAACCACACGATTAAGATTTTTTGAAAGTTCTGAACATAGTTAATCATTCATTCCAACAGTACCATTGAAATTACAGTTAGGGAAGATTGGTGTAGGAAGTGTGCTGGGTATAAGCCATGATACAAATACATGTTTTTACAAGTTCAGGGAGTAATACTAGTGTAAGCAACGGTGATCGTAGCGAACACGGAAGGACAAACGCGCAGGTATGAGATAGGCTGTGGCGGAGAAGAATGAAAAGGGGCATGTTGGGTCAGAGGGACGCATGAGTTTGGGCAGTCGGGGCTGGATGGGCAAGATTATGCATAAGTCAGACAAGCTTCATAGTTTACTTCATCTTCAGTGTCCAAGGAACAGGTGGAGGTCATATCGTGACTCAGAGCGTTGTCGCTCACCTTTCAAAAAGGGAGTCCGGGTTCGATTCCCTGACAATCTCGTGTGAAATTTATTCCCACAAAATGAAGGTTTGCTGCCTCCCGAGGGGCGTGGTAGGAGGCGCGTACGCAGAGATGCTACCTGGCGGTCCTCCTGACAACTGACTGCGACGAGGCGTTACATTTAATGACAATGTTTAGTGGTGGGTTACTACGAAGCGAGGTTCTTCATGGAGGATTATTCCCAAGCGCAAAACGCTCAACGCCTCCCAAGTGTCTTGGAGATGCGTTGCGTCAATCTAGACGCAAAATATTAATTAACAAACGCACTAAGCAGACAAATCTTTACCTATAATTATGCCAAATAGCTTACTCAAACTACTTATCAAGAGCTATCATATCAACCACGACCTAGTAAGTATCTGTAAAAGCTCTGAAACATGGTAGCATATTTAATTTGTTTTGTGAAAAATAATTTTGTATACATTATTTACGTTCATAAATTGTATTGTTTTGAGTATTTTTCTTTTAGGCTCATGTTATCCTCCACGTTTAGTATCTCAATGCATATTCCAACGATCAATAATATAAATGAGGAAAATAGTGTAGAACATTGAATTGACCAGAAATGAATAGAAGACCAGTTGCTTTTATGTAGACGTAAACGAAAGGTGAATACAGATAATAAATGAAAGGTCATAGTAAAAGTCGTAATGATCAATTGCATGCTTTGAGGAATGTGAACAAGTGTAACCAAAGAGAAGCTGTGGGACATCTGCCTTTCTCTGAATATTATAATAGTTACTCTTTTTCATATGATACATAATATGATATATAATGCCTAATGTGCGTTATACCGAATTTTTTGAAATTAGGTCTTCTCAAATTAATTCCAAGGTAGTATTTACCTGGCTCTACATTGGCTGCTTGTAGAGTAAAGGTCTAAATTATTACTTTGCCTTGAATTAAAACCTGAATAAACAACAATAATACGAGAGCAACATAAACAATTACGAATATTGAGTATACACAGGATTGTTATGAAATGGAGGAAGAATACAAAAAGGAAATCTTTTAAAGCTTTTCAGAATGTTTGAGAAAACTCGTTGATGGATAGTCTGAAGACCGTTCAAGAAAATGGCGCTGGTCTCATATAGGTCGAAACCACTGATTTTTTTACAATTAAAAACATTAAACATTTTCGGCGTCCACCAACTACTACAATTATGAAGATACCATTTTGTATTAATAAAATGTGTTCATCAAACACAGATTTTCAAATAAGATCATGTCGAATTTTTCAAACCGAGTATTTTTGTAATAATTGAGCCTCGAAGTTAGTCGTCCGCTCTGAAAATCTTTTGCTTTTAAGCGTAATTTTAGGTATTTTGAGGAATTTTAGATGCAAAGTAAGTTAAAAGGTGTATAGTATTTCATATTTTCATTTTTTTTAAATTTCTTCTTATCTTACATTAGACACGTTGTTATACGTTTAAATATTAATCTTTTAGAAATTATTTACAATGTATTTGAAATAAATATGAAGTAAAGATTGCTGGCCTTCAGTCGCCCGCCCCCATGGACGCAGTTGGATAATATGTAAGTTAGAATTTGTACTTTATTTCATTTTTAATTTTGTTATTATTTATTATATATTAATGTTATTTCATTTTATTTGTGTTAAATGTGCAAACGAATAGAAGGGCGGACATTGTTGATTGTTGTTAGCCATTGTCGTAATACCGCGCCGCACATATAACACGATAATGACGGCTGCTTTTAGTTCGCGGAAATAAAAACAAATACTTTTATACACTTGTAGAATATTACAATACCGTAGTGTTCAATAATTTCAATTATGTACATTACGATTTATTTTTCTACTCGATCAGTATCGTATTATTAATGTTTAAATATTTTATATTCTTGCATTCTGCTTATTTCTCGCACCAAATGTTCTATGATTTTACACGAATTGTACAAAAATAAATTCGGAGAGAAATTGTGGTATAAAAAATATTATATAACAATTACTAATAGATAGTACATGCTGTTTTAGCACCTCTATATCATTTTTTTTTGCTAGCGCACACTTTATAAACATTCTGACTACCCTTATGAATGTGTGTATAATGAACAAAGAATGAAATTGTACAGTGATTTCTATGTAAAGTCCAAATCTTTTCAGGTTTCTATTTGTGCGTTTTGGTCGCACAAAATTATTTATAATCAAATAAGAATTCCTAATTAAAATAAAAAGAAAGTTTTATAACATTGAAGAAATAATTAAGACGATTATCGTAAAAATTTCGGTAACATATTTTCGTACATACCAGGTAGATCTAATTTAAAGAACGCCTTCATGGTGTTTAATTGATCTTCGACACTGAAGAGGTATTCATAAACAGGTGCAGTAGATTTATTTGTTATACACCTGATAGCGTTCATTACTCCTTCGCAAAATGTTAGATCTGCAAGCATCTAAAAAATTACAGTAATTTATCAGCGACATGATACATTAGAGTATAATATGTTAAGAAAATGCAATATGTATTGCGATGATATATAATATATACATACATTTACAATATATTACATACATAATCCAAAGCAGACAATTAATTTATAAAACATATACAAGGGCATTGTACTTTATTGTATTTTATTTTAGTAATTAATATACGAATACCAAACATATACGCTAGTTAATGTCGCGAATTCTGCTACCACTGTCCTACCATTCTAAAATATTTTAACTGTAATCACTCATTTCCTTTGATCTAATTTCCTGTTATAAAATTGAAATATTTACGAGTTGGTACCGATGTTCACTTTTGCCTACAATAGTAACATTTCTATCTCGCCAAATACTTAAAAATACCGATTCTTGAAATGAAATCTTTGATTTCCTATTACTTATGGAATTCTATTAATTAAAAATCCATGGAACGTGTTATTTCGTATAATTTAAAGAAACATGTTCTATAAGAAAATGTGCGGCTTACACTTCATAGAAACTTTACTGCATTCTTTTATAAAACTTGTTTATTGTTGAAGTATTTCTAATTTTATTTTAATTCAAGTGAAGAGAGAGGTAGCTATACGTCACAATTTCAAGGTTTTGAATTTCAACATGCCCTACAATCGGCCCTTCTAGATTTCACTTTTAACTTCCAGTGTATCTTAAGCAATGAGTGAGATGGGGATACGTTGTTGTAATTTGCAATTAAGTTTGTTAGTTTTAAATAAATGTATTATCGACATTTTCTTTGTTTTATTTATCAATCAATACTCAATGTAATTCAATATGCAGAATGTTTCTGGAAACCAAAGGACCAATGTATCCTATCGGTTACAACAAATATTTTTTGATAGAAACAAAAAATATCAAAACATTTTTTTCCATTTGTAACCTTTCGTTTCATGTCATATATTATTCCAATTATTAAACTATTATATAAAACGTACCCTGGGATCTCAAGAGGTAAAATTCCAATAAATTTTATGAATAATTTGTTTGTTTATCTGTCGTTTTGAAAAAATAATGTCATTTCATGCACAATCTGTCGTTAACTTACTCATACTGTTTGAAAAGTTTAATTATCGTTACTTTACTTACTTACTTAAGTTACTTATTAAGTTACTTTCATTTAGTTAATACGTAATATCAGTTAAATGTACCTTTACTACAATGTCTAATAACATTACTAACAATTTTCTACAACTATGTATACAGATTTGGCAAACGAGTTTTGGATTTCTGTGCTAATATTTACTATGTTGCTTTTTCAAGGTAATACGTTTAACAAATGCACGCAATAAAGATGGAAATATATTTACTTTTAGAAAACCATTGGATGTGTCCTTCGAAAGTGATTTACCACCCATGTAGAACTCTCTCAATTCGTGAAGAGCAGCATCCACGTTGGGTCCATCAGAAGGAATGCGAAGTTCTTTGAGAATGAACTGCCTCCAGTTTCCATCCAACTCTTTGGCAACATCATCATTTCGAAAATCAGTATCTACAGAAAAGAAAACATTTTTTGGTGTTGGAAATTTAATGGATAAGTTGGAGTATTCTATCACGTTTTAATAACAGTTTGAAGAAATGAAATGTAAGTGATATGTATGACTTATTAACATTGTTTCTGGAGTTCCATTACGACCTGGATTTGGGGTATACGAGTTGGATAGCGCAAAATGGTGTTCGTGTCTGATCAAACCTTTTTGGTTAAAATATACTCTAGGAACCACAAGCCGCAATCTGGGCTATCATTTTTTTGAACTCGAAAAATGCATATGCACGGAGTAAAATTCTTATGCGAATTGTTTTATTAAAAAATAGGTTTCGGCATAAATGAAAAAATGTGATAGCAGATTTAGGCGAGCGTTCAAAGATGTAAAAGGCAATTTTGAGAATCCATTTGTGTGCATAAAAACTGCATTAAAAATGAAGAGATTGACATGAGAACTTTTAACCAACAAACAATCGTTGATTTACGAGCAAATCTAAAACCTAAACCAAAACTCAAGCTTCAACTATTTTCATGTTCACGTCACGAGGGCTTAAGTCGTATACTATATGCGCAAGTGTTCTTGATATTCCACAGCGAAGAGTGCGGGAAGATGAAGCCACGGCACAGCTTAAAAAGGCGTACCAACCAAGTAAAATTCTATTCTTATTTCTGGTACCGTGTACCTATGAAGATATGAGGTGAATGTTGGTAGCATTGTTCCATTTCGAGCAGGAAATAAGAGTCCAACCGGACCGTGCTATTCAGATCCGACAAAGGATTACAAAGCTAGTCTATTAATAAATCTTGAGCTAGCAATAGATGTCTCGATGTGGAGCTTAGAATATGTCTCTCTACTTCAATAACAAAATGCTTGTTTCATATTCCACTACACCCCGCAATGTTTGTCACTGCAGTTTCTTTACTCCAATAAGTATATAATCTAAATTACGTTAGATTTAAGAAACGGTTGGTTGACTCTTAATATCTTGTATAGACTTTTATTAGAATATTTGTATTCCCAATCATTTGATGCCAATGTTTGTTTCCTTAAATTTAATCACAGTACAAAATGTATTTTTCCTATCTTATTATAACAAAATATTTTAATTACTCAAATTTCTCAACAATTTTGGAACCATGTCGAAAAGCTCAAAATCTCTTTGTAAAAGTGTTTGAAGCAAAATGCTGACTTGCACAGTAAAGTATAAGGCCTGAAAGTGCAACGTCGAGATTTATTTGGATGTCGAATGTTTTAGTTTTGTGTAAGAATGAAATATTAATCAACGAGTATTATCTTAGAGGTAAAAAATATGATTTAAGGGTAGACTACATAATACTTACAATATAAAACGAATAAGCATTCTTCACTTGTCATCCCAGTCATGTAAGGTACATCATGATAGTCACCGTCTTTCACCAGCTGCTCAACTGGAGCAGGTAGAAATGTCTCCACTCCAGGAACCACTAGTTCTGGCGTTGGCACGAACGGAAAATAAAGCACCCGTTGTTTATCCTGTGGCAATATTTTAGATAGAAACCGATTTATTTTTACCCTTTTTAACAATTCAATTCTACATATAGTATTGTACCTGCGTATTGGAATCAACATGAGTGTTCATAGGGCCCTCTTCCTGTCCATTACTCATGTTTAAACCTATTCCGATTCACAAATCAGTGTAAGGAAGGTGATATTCAATGCATCTTTAACATCTGGTGGGGAAGTGATAGTTTTTCCTTAAATTTGACGATCTTTTTAAAATCGTCTTGAATACAAAGTAAATATTCGTTATTTAGGAACTTAAAACGCGTTTGGGAGATTTTTTCAATCTTAAAAAGTAATCAATAACTCTTTAGATTCCCCTCAATAAAATCAATTTTTGTCATCATTTTATGATGAATCCTTTAAACTTTCTGAATATGTTAAGAATATACTATTTTCGTTGGTTTTCAAGACAAATTCAGGGATGAAACATTGTGAATTATTACGAATATACTCTCTTCCACCATAACAATTGTGAGGTTCTTTTAAGACTTTAAATCAATGTAACAGACAAGAGAAAATACGCATAGATAAATGAACAAAATTTAAGATATACTCTTCTACTAGTACAAATAAATATTCGTGTTCATACAATCTCAATAATGTTTCCATCTCACGCTTGTAAAAGTATTGCATTACGTGTGTTTCTATATTTTTAATAACAAATTAAATTAATCACTTAGTTACGTATTTGTAGATTTGAAAATTTCAATCTGGTGTTTACACTAATAAAGCGTCTAAAAATTAATTTTTGAAACAAATTTATGACTCTCAAACGTCACTTTTCCGCGGCTAAATGTCACATATCAAAGGATAATCGGCGGTTAGCGCACCTCCTCCGGCACTGCCTCCGTGCGAGCCGTGCGCGCTAGCTCCATGCAGTCGACAGTTCTGAGAAAGTCCACGATGGCGTGCGGGTCGTCGCTGGTGCAGCCCAGGAGACGCGCCAGGCGCCGGGCAGTGGCAGCAGGCTCCGTTTGGTGTGCCCATGGGTTCTGCGCTGCACCACTCATGGCGATGGCGCGGTGGAACAGACCTACAAAACGAAACACTTGGATTTTGCTGTCGGATCATCAGCAAGAGATGAGGTGTATCGCAAATAATTCGCGGCTCGATGTCTGGTGTTTTCGATTCGTTCTCACAAAAATATGTCTGTATTTTTAAATTGTATCTATTATACAGAAATTCATCTCACAGTTGTCCATATAGCAATATTATAAATGTGTCAATATATTTAAAGTGTTAATCATTTAAGTGATATTTTCATAAATCCCACTAAGTATTCAAAATTTTCCTTTAACTTACCGTCTATCGATTTATTATGCATTTGTTTTCAATATCAAATATTTGTTTGTACACATGCTCCGACGTTTCAGAAATGGTAATTGATTTCATATACTGAAGTTACAACGAAGCATAAATTTATTCTAAGAAAAGCTTGCCTTTGGACATGGGCGAGAGCATGTGGAAATGCACCGACACGGCACCAGCGCTGGGGCCAAAGATGGTGACGTTGCCTGGATCTCCCCCGAACGCCGCGATGTTCTTCTGCACCCAGCGCAGGGCTGCCACCTGATCCTTCAGCCCCACGTTGCCAGGGGACGCCTCCTCCAAGAACAGGAAACCTGCAAACGATTTCGTAAACTGGAAATTACGTTTGCATAGACTGCATCAGTTTAGTAATTAATGACATAGTTCTCATTAACTTGTAAACATGAGTAAATACTGTCATAACGTTGGCCAGATTACTGATTACATTGCTATTCAGCAGTTCTCTTCATAAAGAACACTTTTGCAACAGTTTCTCCCCCTGATGAGAGAAAACAACGGAGAAACGAACGTGCCGATTCCTATACACTACGATAATTGACACTACGTTGTCGTCAGACAAAAATATTGGGAAACGTAGAAACATTACCGTTTACCTTGATTGAGTTAAACAGTTTGCCAGTAGCTCCAATGTGAAAACAGATTATCCCATACGCCTTAGCTTGTGAATACGTCGCTGCGCTCGACAGTCTGTCTTGTGAACGACCGCAGCTCGAATGGAGTTAATTGCGGAATCCAAAACGGAAAGAGAATACCTTCTTCTTTTTTCTCCTTCTTCTTCTTTTTCAATACACTTTGGGAGATATTAAGCAATCACCAAAGTGCAAATATTTCGCTGAATTTTAGCATTGCGCAAATTTTATAGGCTTTTTGAAAATCAAAACAATGCTTCTTACTATTTTATTGCATAGATCTTAATGCCATTAGAACTACATACATGACCTTTTGTAAGTTAGTCTTTTTTATGTATAAATTGACTAGGATCGTATGGAAATTGTGTATTAGAAGTTAGCAATTAACGCCGTTTTTATTAACTCAAATTAAATCCACATATTCTCTTTCTGAGTAAGAACAGTTTTTTCTTTAAAATTTATCGAATTCTTTTAAAATTGTTTTAAGGAAGTTCTTCAAATTATTTTATTTCAATGTACTTTTTTAAAAAGTAAGCAGACTTATTTTTAATGTGTAACACAAACCACTAACCGAACGTCTTACCATGTTTTGTAGTTTTTGAAAGATCGTAGATTGACTTACCTAGAACTCCAACTCTATAGTTGAAAGTGATCATTATTACATCCTCTGCAATCAAATGATCAGGGCCGCAGTGCCCCCTCTCTCCGGAGCCGCTTTCGAAGCCTCCCCCGTGGATGTAGACCATGACTGGAAGGGGGTCGTCTCTGCGAGCGGGCAGGTGAGCGGTGTATACGTTCACGAAGAGACAGTCGTCGCTCCCTTCATATTTATTATTGAAGAAGTTGAACTGAGCACAGCAATCTCCTTCTTCAAATGCATCTCGAACTCCTTCCCAAGATTCCGGAGGTTGAGCGTCCTACACAAAACAACAAGCACTTCTCTATTAAAATAAACTAACTGTATTTGAAGGAATCACACAGTAATTGTTTTGAAGAATTTGGACATTTGTTCACATACGTTCTTCACTAAGCTTCTAAACTAACTACATATACTATTTTTTCATTAACTAAAAGTATCCAGAGATTCACCGGACTTTCATCTCTGAATATATTTTGAAGTGCAGCATATTCGAATCAAACAACGTAGAAATTGTGTGCTACAGTAGCCATGTGTCCGTGGAATATGCGGAACTGAGCTTGGAAATGAAGATAGATTTAAGTCACTTTCTCGTCGAAAATTATACACAACATAGAATGTTACCTTGAAGCGCAGCGGCCCAATTGGAGCGCGGGCGTAACGGATTCCCTGGAAGCTCCAGAGGGTTCCTCCGGCTTTGGACTCCACGCGCCGCCCCCGCAGCAGCCCCTCCGCCACCCGCACCGTCGCCGTCTCCTCCCCCATCGCCCCTCGCTCCCTCTGCTCCTGCGGCACCATAGCAACGGCTCTCTGCTGGCACGCTTTCTTACAACATCTAAAGGTAAAGAAAAGGGGGAAATAATGACAATGTAACATTAATTTTGGTTGGAAAATGAAAAATGCAATTGGGGGGAATTCAGAGCACAATGCTACGTACATTTTTGGTAAATTTGAGTTAAAAGTAAGAGTGTAAATACTATTTTATTTAATGTGAAAATCATATTTAAATTACTCAAACATCTACGTGTTCGAGCGATGAAGAGGAACCGTAGAATTTTCTAGCCACCTAGCTTAGAACTCGGTTTTCTCAATACCACACTGAAGGTACTTACAGTATACCCTTTCCCCTCCAAGCTCTGCAACCTAAATTCACACTGAAAGGAATTACTTGAATACTTGTATCCCTAATGCAAGTAAATAATATATTAGATTGTCTAATGAGCAATTCAGGATGAATCTTAAGACTAAACGAGAATTATTGACTCTAAATTTACCGTCATCATAGCAGTGTGTGATCTGCAAAATATTACGAATTAAGACTCGCTAAATGATCTAAAATGTTCAAGAAAGTCATTTTACATTTCGGAAACCTAACAATAATGATTTTCTCCAGCCTTAGGAAGTATTTTCAAATAACTCACGGCTTTATTAAAACCACATTTTACTCGGTGTCGTAGACATGATGTCACAAGGGTCAATTTTTAATTCTATAAAAATTAGCATGATTAAATGAACCTAGAGTTTTGAAAATGGGGCAGCCCCTTTCCTATTCCACTTCAGTCAAATATCCGAAAACCCATCTAGAATGTACTTTTGCCTCGATTCCCTTGATCTATATATAGTTTTTATCATCAATAAACATTCATCATGCACGTTTGAGCAGAATACACCCTAAACACACGCATTATTTAGCATAAAATGAATTTTAACATTGTTTTCACTTTTGAAATTACAAGAACAATATATTTATAGCGATATCATGTTTTGTGTGTCTGTGTGTGTGTCACTCGTTCGGGAATATCAAGTTAAAAACCTCACTCCTTTGTCTTCCAAAGTAACTTTTTAATTTAAAAGTAAATGAGAGGAGTGAAATAAAAAATGATAAAATAATGTTAAAAATAATGAGAAAATAAGAAATATTAACATGACTACGTTTACAACACATTATTGACTAGAAATGTATTTTTCAAAATTCAAAATCAATCAGTAATGCAATCAGTAATCAGTGATTAATCACATATTTCTGTTGGAAAAAATAATACCCCTATGAAAACTTAACTAAGAAAACAGAATCTAAATAACATAAAATTTAAGTTTTGACAATCCCTATTAAATTTTCCTCTACATAAATATTGTGGATATTTAAAGTGACGGTTTTCATTTTAAAGTTAGGTTGCAATCACTCTAGGTTTTTATTACGCATAAGAACATTCCTTGGATTTTGAGATTTCCATTAAATTAGCCTTAATTTTATTTGTAAAATAATACATCAAACACTACAAAGTAACATGAAGACCAATTTCTAACAAAAAAGTGGAGAAAACCGCTAAAGCATCATCTTCATTTTTTCCAAAAAACAACAAAATAATATATCATTCTATTTCGTTTCACAACTGAACAAGATTGAAACATTTTTGTTTCCTTTGATCAAATATAACCGAATACCTTAATGAAGTTCGTTTTGTTTCACATCCTTGTAATTCGCCTTCCATCCTTGTAAACACGCAATGATCCAACTTACAAATCTAGATTGCACTTTCTCCCCGGAACCTGCAGTGACAGGTAGCCCGTCAAGCTACCGTGACCAGGAAACGAAGAAGACTGGTTGCAAACCACACTACCACACGTTCACTAGCGGTTTATTTCTGACGTAGCGGGAGCTTTCATAACGAGAAACACCTTTCACCTCCGATGTCAGCGCTAATGGCAACCCGGGAAACTACCCGCGGCAGAATGGTAACCTCATTTGACACGAGGTTGCGGCATTCTTTTGTTTGATCGGGCAGTCGTACTTCTGCCTTTGCCCCCACAGGGTACGGTGACTCAAGAGCACAACTGCCGCGGGCAGCCGAGGCCTCTTGAAAGCAGTAACTTAGGCAGCATGAAAGTGACGTCAAAGCAGATGAATTATTATGTGACGTTTTTAATAGAGAAAATAATCGAACGTTTTTCCAAGTTAATTCGTAAAAATATGCGATAAGTAAAATTATAGAGAATGTTACTTAAAATATTTTCATAACGAGTTCAAGGGTACTTGGAACATAGTTTTGAAATTTGTGTAAGGGACATTTCAAAATTTGATTAAAAGATCATGATTTGCTTTGATTTTATTCTTCTCGGAGAAAAAATAATATCGTTCGCAAACGTAAGTCGGTTAAAATACATATTTCAATTTTCATGGAGATTTAAACAAACTTCACTAGAGGTGCAACAGAATGGCGCAGACATTCTCGTACTAATTTCTTTGGTCTGACATAGCTATTCTGTCTATAATCTTGCCACATTGTTTTGCCAGCTTCCCTCTATCAGCGTTTACAATTTGTTCTAAATATATGCATATTAACGACGATAGACATTAAAAAAACATTTGTGTAATTTTTGTAAAAAACAAAATTAGTCTTATATCATCTGAAAGAGAGAAAATAAGCTCTAAATGCACGAAAAGTTTGAAGAAACAATTTTCAGCCGTTTTCGAGAAAATGGCGTTTGAGCGTTTCTAAAATTGCTAACTATTGAGCTACTTTTCACAGAAAACAGTAGAGTTTTCGAGAAACATTATATGCCATTTTATAAAGTACGTGTACTCATTAATGTAATAATGTAAGCAAATCACCGACAATGTAAATATTAAGAACATGAGAAACGAGTAAAAAAATAAATGTTTGTCATATTTGGAAACACAAAAAATAGAGCAATATGGTGTTTACGTTTTCTCGTAGAGCACATTAGACACTATCCCTACCAAAAGTATAAAGAAAATATTGGAGCCGCTTTTTAAAAAATCTAATTTTTGTTATTCTTCAAAATTGCACATATTACACGCAATATTGCGTCAAAACAACCTAAATTTTAAAGTTTCTAAATAAATGAATTTGCGATTTAAATTACGAATCACGCTCTAATCTTTATTTCCGTTCTAGCTGGTTATGGCACCCTCAACATTTTATGAATTTGTGGCAAATATTACCAAATAAGCGAACGTATTAATAACAACAGTAACAAAACAAAAAACAACAACAATAATAATAATAATAATAATAATAATAATAATAATAATAATAATAATAATAATAATAATAATACATATCTTAAAGAACCAAGGATTATAAACTTCGAACGTCAGCGCCTTATATCCAAAGAGCTTGCTTACCACTGCCTCGTGAGTTCAAAACTGTCTTACGCACTTCTCAAGAATTTTCATAGATGTTTGTCTTTTAGTTCACGTCGGGGGTTCAAGGAGAGAGCACAACAAACTTTAATCATACGGGTTTTATACGGGAGTTGAAAAGCTACGGATTGGCCTAGTTAGACAGCAATGAATGCATACACCACATATGATAGAGTGGTAGATAAATACGCCTAGACAAAGGACGGAAAAACCTAAAATGTGTCCATTGTGAGTAACAACTCTAAGGTAGTGTTTGGGTTCTTTCGTGGAAATTATTTCATTGTCATCGTTCAAGCTTGTGACATTTATTCCGAGACACATACTACTACTTATCTAAAGATATGTTCATACTTCCAGCAAAAAATTGAAAACTTTTAGTAACGATCGCGTACAACGATGTACTATATTATGAATTACTAATGAAGTCTTTTAAAATCCGACTTGCCAGATTCGAAGTTACAAACTATTCAGTTGTTCATATATACGACTGCCGTGCAATCACTTTTGTCTTGAAATAACGGACTGCTTGCCGCTCAGGAAAAGTTGTGTTAGAAAATAAAAAGCCCATTATATCGGCTACGTAAAAAGCATATAATTTTGTTGCTATCTGTGTGGCCGGATACGAGACCTGGCAGTTGTTGCACAAGCGATACTCTCGGGCCTCGTTCTAGTGAAACAACGCGTGTCAGGATTGTGAAGTTGTCGGACTGAATTTGGGGAATGCTAAATATTTTGAGAGTTCTGATTACCGAATAAAGAGTCCTAAAGAAAGTTCTAATACACTTTTGTTGACCGACGTCAAACACAGGAAATATTTAATACTTTTATTTTAATTTGAAGACGGTTTCTTGAAGTTGAATATCTGTGAAGAAATAATTTCAAAATTATATTTCATCAGTTATGACCAGAGTTCTGGGTAGCCAACAAAGAGTTCAAAAATCCTTCCTGTATCGGTTTATCATCAGAATTTTGAAAAACTGCGTTGACAATTTTTTCTCACAATTCGAAAACTTAAAACCTTTCAACTGCCTTAAAACGCACATTAAAATATTGAATAATTTCCCTTATGACATGGGTCTAAAAAGTTTATTGTGTGTCTATTTAGAACTCTTTTCTCGCTTTCAAAAACTCTGGTCAGAAGTGACGAAATATAATTTTCAAAATTTTTTCTCTCAAATTTTCAACTTACCCGAGCGGTGCTACAGAATAGCTGAGACATTCCTATATTAGTTTCCTATTTCTTTTGGTCTTGTTTAGCTATTCGAATTTGTTATACTTGTATATTCTGGCCTGCTGCTATCCATGGCCACACAAAATTCGACGTTTTCCTAATTTTCCAATTTCCTAATTGTAGAGCGGAATTATTATTTTAAGATTATTAAAGAACAGTAACAACTCCTTCAAAATGGCAACTTTTTTTAAAAAAATTTGGAGCCGTTTTAAGAGAACTGGCGTTCAAGTGCTACTGTCAATTTACAATATGAATTTCTTTTTCCCAGAAAATCTGTGAGTTTTCGAAGAACTTAATTAGAATTCATTTTAAGTACTTTCACTCACAAATACAAGTGTTTACAATTTGCTGGAAATGTGCATTGCATCGGCGTGAGAGATCTTCTAA